ATTGTTGTCCAACACCTTGCACCAGCATCCCAAAATAATTAGGCAGAGTTTCCCCATAGCCACAGATACAAGAAAACCTACCTATTTTCAGCTAAAGTTAAATCATTATTATAGTTTCACTTGTTGCCTCACCAATTACTATGATCCCTAAAACTTTATTTTACAATTTTTTTCAAAATTCATGTACACCTTATGCATGTGTATGAGCCAAATAATTACTGAATCTTTTTCAATGAAGACTACTGAAATGAATATTGCATTGTAGATATAGCTACTGAAACCATATTTCTAATTGACATGTTTGCTAATTTCTCTAGTTTTAGACATTCACTTAGATATCATGTATTTTTTATTTAGATGTGAAGAGTTTGGTATTCTTACTATATCAATTATCGAGTGAATGAAACCGCAACGATCCTCTTACACCCATCTTGTTAATTCCAAGCTTCATCAAGCCAATAGAATTAATATGTATACCTAATTAAACAACAGACGTGTGTTCAGAACATTCAAGAAACAATCAAAATTTACCTGACAAACTAAAGGAGACGTGTGAAATTTTCTTAAAAGTACAATCTTGAAGAACGGTGCGTTATATTGAATCACTTTTTTTAAAAAATTGGAACCAGAATGATATCCCAGTATGTATGTATGTGTATGTGTGTGTATATATATATATAAGTTTCCAGTTGAATTTATAAATAAAATCAATTGGTTTCTTAATTTAATGACTGAAATTATGAAGCAACAACGTTGAATTAAATTTTAATAGCACAAATAAAAATTCAATAGGTTTTTTTAATCGCATGGTGTATATGATTGAGAGGAAGCTATAGACAAAAGTATATATACTGTCGAAGTTGGGTCCGTCTTTAGATACTAAACCTTTGGCTCCCTTTAATTAAAGAGGTGTGTACTAAATGAAGAATTTTTCTCGACGTAACAATTAAAATAATATACATAGTATTCATACGGAAGAAACTATGGATAGAACTTCCTTATATACAACATTCCTCGTTCAGGTGTGATGTATTTTTTTATTTTTATTTTTCATTTGGTTTCATAAGAACTCTAATACATTTACTACTTTTTACGCTTGATAACACGACATAAAATTGTTCCATGTGAAAATATAAGTTCAAGTATAAACAATCCAACAAAATCAAGAGTTTGACATTGAACTTTATTTGTAGTCATAGCAAAGCATACACTGATTAAGAATTGAGTTCGTTTGAATTGAATTGGACTCGTATCATTTTCAAAAGGTACAAATGGTACACAAGGTAGAAAAACTCTTTTTTATTTTATATTGTCCAACGGCAATTTCAACTTTAATTATGTTATAATCAAATATTTTACAAATAAGCCTAGTACCATTGCACAAACCTTCGGGATAATGCAAGTTTAAACTCTCACACTATAACTTTGTCATATCACTGTTCTATTTGTTATTCTCCAAAGTCAATCCAATTTTTTTTATTAGAGGCTCACGTCTAAAATTCTTCCTCACTCATATATTTTTTTCCCCAACTAACTTGACCATCAGAGTGCGCATAACCAACTCCACCCTCACCGGAGGAGGTCACGTTTGGCTAACTATTCGTCTAAATGTGCAGGAACAAGGCTTGTATAGATGTGAAAGGCCTTGAGATCTGTTGACCACGCTAGAGATACATTTTTTGGGGTCAACGCACAGTATTGAGATATAGGATCCCATCTAAAAGGTGGGATAGATTGTATGTTTCACTCCATTTTTATTTGACGTGAGATTTTCAATTAACAAATAAGAAGTTTGGGGATGCCTGGGAAGTGATCCCAAAACCGTTATCTATAGCACCCTTAGGGCATACTTGGGGATTTTATTTTTTTTATTGATTTTGAATGGCACCATTTATAAGGGGCTAGAAAAATCGGTATTTGCTAATTTTTTTGGACACCGATTTTGAATGATTTAAAAATCACCAAAAATTAGTTTAGCGTAATTTTGGTCGGTTCTCTCACCCCCACCAAATTTATGGGTTTTGGCCATTTCTAATATTCTCTTCTAATTTTATCCTTTATAAAATAATTATTTACAACCAACATATTTTCTTCGAAACATCTTATAAATAAAAATATGTTAAGTAAAAAATTATATTATAAGTAAGATAAGAAAAAATATGTTATAATTAAAAATCACTTATAAGTTAAAAATTACTTTTATGTAAAAAATTATAAAATAAAAATATTACTAATGAGACAAATTCACTTATAAAATATAAAACGTTACGTATAACTAAAAAATTTACTTAAAATTATTTAAACTATAATATTAACTTATAATTGTAAGATTTATTTATAAGTAAAAAAAATTAACCTAAAATTTCAAGTAAATATTTCGTTTTATTTAATTTTTAAAAAAAAATTACCTATAAGTAAAATAACACTTGTGAGAAAAAAATTTATATAAGACTATAAACTGAAAATTTTGCTATGCACTATAAACTACCATAACCTCTTGGGTTGCATCGTTTATGAGCGATTGAAAAATTCATTGCTTTTACTATTTTATTTTATTTTTTTTTGGCTCCATTTTGGATGGCTTAAAAATTACCCAAAATCAGTATAGTATAATTTTGATTGGCAACCCATCAAATCAGATGGTTGGCCGTTTCTAATATTCTCTTCTAATTTTATCCTTTATAAAATAATTATTTACAACCAACATATTTTCTTCGAAACAAATTATAAATAAAAATATATTAAGTAAAAAAATTATTTATANATTTCAAGACAACGTTTTTGCACACGCTCTTTAAGCAGTTTTAAATTTATCTCAATATTTTTCATTACTTATAAATTTTATTTCTTGTTTAAGTTCTCTAAATTTAGGTCTATGTTACACATCAAACCAGTGTCAAAAATGCTACCTACCAAACCATTAAATGCCACAATACAAGACGAAATGCTAGTAACGGAAGATAAAAGATGAAGATATATTGCTTGGTAGACCAAACATCAAAGAGATCTCCCCTCGCGTTATATATAATACACTTGTATAGTGGTGTGCGAAAATGTTCTCCTGCCCGCGGCGGGCAGGCTTATCCTGCCCGCCTGCTGATGTGGCAGGAGAACCCTACGTGGGGTTCTCTCCAAATGTGAGAACCCCACGTTGGGTTCTCTCCGAGTGGGCTTTATAAGCCTACCCGCCGCGGACAGGAGAACGGGACCGATTACATGATAATATATTAATATAAGGCACCGTTTGGTAACAATTATTCTACAAAAAAATGTATTCTTTGTGTCAAATCACACTTTTTTTTGTGGTTGAAAATGAAGGAAAAATTATTGATGTGATGAAAAATATTATTTTATTGATGAATGTGTGGTTGAAAATTAGTAGAAGAATGAGAATGAAAAAAAAAGAATGGATACCAAACAGAGGCTAAAATTATTTTATTTTTACTAAATAGTAAATTTCGTTGAATAAAATGTCAAAATAAATTTTCAAAACTTCAAACCGAACGTGTTATCTATTTTGAGAAATGATTTTTCAAAATGACAAAGCAAACACAATTTTAGCAATTTTAAAATAAACCCTCAAAACAGAAAATTGAAAATGAATTCAAAACTCAAAACTAAAAACTGAAATAGAAATCAAACGGGCCCTCATTTTTTTCAAAACTCATTTGCAACCCTACATTTTCTCATAAAATAATTTTACAGTAAATTCAAAACTTTTCTTTTTTTTAACTACATATTCTCTAAAAAAATACTATTCTAAAATGTATTTCAATCCAAAATTGGGGCTCAAACAAAGACTTAATATCGTGTGTGCAGTATCCATACTTCATGATAAAAATTTAACAAAAATACTACTTGTACATCTAGAATTGTACATAATGACTCACATGGGGGTGGACCCACGTGTATAAAATATTTTTTTTATTCAAGCGGGTCTCACCCCCATGTGAGTGTGATGTACACGCCTATGTACACCTTGATGTACCGGCAGCAAAATCGAAAATTTAATCAGACGTTGCATAACCACGTGACTTCTAATTGAAAGTATGGATGATAAAGTTTTTCATATTGACCTGCTCCATCCTGTTACGTAAATGGTCAAGGATTGGGAAAATGATTCATGTTCCGAATTTCTCGAACTCGCCTTAAATATTTTTATTTTATTTTATTTTCATATTTTCCAATTAAATTGTATTTTAAAAAATAATAAGTAAATAAATAACTAAAAGGATTGGTAAATGAAGATATTTTAATTCATGCATCGATTCTCGTTACCTAGGGGTAGACTTTCAAATTTTAAACATCTTAAAGAGCAACAATTTTAGTACAATTTGAACTATTTAATTTTTGTAATAAAGATAATATGTTTAAATGATTTTATTTTTCAATCAGACATACGGCCTATCGCGTAGACATTTGAAGCATGTTTGTTGTCGATTTTGTGAGGCGACATTTTATGAAAAAAGCAAAAATTTTGAAAAATGTGTGGTTAAAAAGAAAAAAAAAATTATGAATCCACGTAGAAGAATACGTAATTAAAAATAAATTTTAAAAGAATACGTAATAGGTGTTTAATACAGAAAGACGGAATTACGGGAATGGTTTGTGTAGGAAAGGAATTTGAAATAGGAATAATATATACATCATCATTACGTCAACAAGAACCGCGTTTGTAGTCCAACGGTTAGGATAATTGCCTTCCAAGCAATAGACCCGGGTTCGACTCCCGGCAAACGCATCTTTTTTTTCTTTTCAATTAACACATTAACGGATGTACCCTTTGACAGATAACTATTCCTGTTAGAACTGGACAACTTAACAGTCCCAGTCACAGTCCCATTCACGATGTGAGTCTTCTTCCATTCACATAAGGGAGTTACTATTATAAATAGTTGAAAACATCCCCAGTCATTGGTTTTTTCATTCTATGGTAAAAGAATATTCTTACTAGTGGGTCCACTCCATTACAATTATACAATACCTTGGAAGAATCAAGAATGGATATTGAAAACCAATCATCAACCTGTGGAATGGGAGCTTCCCATTCTTCCCCTCCCTCGCCACCGCTTCTGGTGGATGAAGAACAGCAAACTACCGCCTCCTCCACCACCCGTAAATGCTCCAAGAAACTTGCTTTAATCCCGCTAATCTTTTTAATCTATTTTGAGGTTGCTGGTGGCCCTTATGGTGAAGAGGCTGCCGTGGGTTCTGCAGGGCCTCTTTTTGCAATTCTCGGATTCCTTATCTTCCCATTCATATGGAGCATCCCCGAAGCTCTTGTGACTGCTGAACTTGCCACTACTTATCCAGGGAATGGAGGTTTTGTCATATGGGCACACAAGGCATTTGGTCCCTTCTGGGGATCCTTAATGGGTTCTTGGAAATTTCTTAGCGGTGTTATCAATTTAGCTTCATATCCTGTTCTTTGCATAGATTATCTCAAACTTGTTTTTCCAATACTCTCTTCTGGTGTTCCCAGGAGTCTGGCAATATTTTTTGCTACTATATTCCTGTCGTTTCTCAATTATACAGGTGTAGCAATAGTTGGTTACACTGCTGTGTGTTTGGGCCTTGTTTCACTTTCTCCTTTTGTTGTACTTAGTTTTGCTTCAATTCCCAAGATTCATCCTAAAAGGTGGATCAGTTTAGGTCAGCAGGGTGTCAAAAGGGATTGGAAATTGTTTTTCAATACACTTTTTTGGAACCTTAATTTTTGGGACAATGCCAGTACTTTAGCTGGTGAAGTAGACCAGCCCCAGAAAACATTCCCAAGAGCACTACTTTTAGCTGGGATTCTCACAAGTTTGAGTTACATAGTCCCCCTTTTGGCTGCAACTGGAGCTACTAATTTGGACCAATCAAAATGGGTGAATGGCTATTTTGCAGATTTGGCTGTTATCATTGCTGGCAACTGGTTAAAATATTGGATAGAAATTGGTGCAGTTTTATCTGGGATTGGACTATATGAGGCTCAGTTGAGCAGCTGTGCTTATCAAATTCTTGGTATGGCTAATATAGGAGTTTTACCTAAGTTTTTCGGGTTGAGGGCGAAGTGTTTCAACACACCTTGGCTCGGTATTCTGCTATCCACATCGATCGTGGTGGCAGTTTCGTTCATGAATTTTACCGATATTATAGCCTCAGTAAATTTCTTGTATAGTCTTGGAATGCTGTTGGAATTTGCTTCATTTTTATGGTTAAGGAGGAAGATGCAGAAGGCAAAGAGGCCATATAAAGTTCCATTGCCATTGCCAGGACTGATCATAATGTGCTTGGTACCATCTGGATTTCTGATATATATAATGGTAGCTGCCAATAAAATTGTCTACTTGGTCAGTGCTTTGCTCACAGTGCTTGGCATTGGGTGGTACTTCTTGATGAAGCTATGCAGATCAAAGAAGTGGATTGAGTTTGAAAATTATGTTGACAAGGATGAGAATTAAGATGAGAATTACACTAGGATGAAAATTCTTTTAACTAGTTTATGAACAAGGAAGAAATAGGAGATTTATAAGTAATACAATGTAGTTCATGTAATTTTTCTGAAGTTATATGATGTAACAGAGAAAAATATCCCTATTATTTTATTTTTCAGTTCAATGATATTTCTGCTTTGTTTTATATGTTTGGAACTTGCAAGTAACTTTCGAGAAAAGCACATTTTATACTGCTTTTAAGTATGGTCAAACTTCGATGGAGGTGGATCCAAAAGTCTCGCTTAGTCCTATTTATAGATAGCTTGGAGTTTGAGAGTATCTACAGAAAGATTTTCAATTCAAGTGACATTGATGTCTAATGAATAGAAGGTCGGTACAAATTTATTCTATCTATAACTCGAATTTATTTAATAGAAGAGAAAGAAAATCAGCAGAGATGAGAGTGAGAAAATAAGAAACAAGAAGGGGAAGGGAGTTTAAAGTTTGCCGATTTAATCCATTTAACAAAATCTCTAAAACTATACGGGGTGGTTCTAAATTTTGTCTATATTTTTTTTTCTCTCATATTGAAGTTTTTTTTTTTTTTTACTTTGTCAATTTTTAATTATGTGACACAAGGTTTTAAGCATATACATGCTTAGCAATTTGAGGCCTTGTTTAAGCCACCTTTTTGTAGAATGAAAATGAAAAACGTAGTCGTTATTGGGGCTCACACAAGAGATAGAAAATTTGAATTTAAATATCGATGTGATGAATAACGGTCATATTTTTCATTGGGGAAATTAGGCCAAGTACTGTTCTGATGCTAAAAAATTGATTAATACACTTGCCATCTTTAGCTATTCCTCTGCACGTATTTAATACGGTAAAGTGGAGCATTATTTCCTTCATGTTAAGCACCTGCACATGCATAATTATTTCCTTAATTATTATTACCTTGATTCATCTGAATTTATCAATTATACTAACAAAAAAATCAAATTCATCAACAATAGGGACCGCCCCTAATTTTCTTATTTTATTTTCACCATGTTTTAATAAAAAATTTATATGGCTCATTGCGTAACATTTGTGTCTCAAAATATCTTCATATTTATATATTTGATTCTATGATCGAAATAATCCAAGTTGACGTAAATAGAATTTTAATAATATTGATTCAAAACGTAATTGCATTGGTTTGTTGAATTACATTCTATCAATCATATTTGACTCGTTATGTTTTTCAATGTTTAAGGCTTTTTCAATCAAAAAGATGTGTTACAAATTTTACAATGAATGCTTTTACAATGAATGCTTCGAAAAAAAATTTGTTAGTCAAGAACGTGAATGGAAAGTGACATGTTGCGTTACTTTTTAATTTTAATTTATCATTTTTTTTTAATGTGTCACTTTCAACTTATAGATTATTGTATTTTTAAAACGAAGTTATGTTTTACATTTAGTTAATATAAGAGAAATATAGTCATAAATAGTTATAAATTTCGAAAAGTGCACACGTATTAATCTAGTTAATTGTCTCAGTAACATACTGCGACTTTTTTTTTTAGAAAACATTATCATTTTCTCAAACACCTTGCACGCATCAATTTAAGTGATTCACAATTTTATTTTTCATATGTATTAATATAAAACAAGATTTGAATTCGTATGTTTAAATTTTCAAAAATGCAAACGCATGCATCTAGTTAATTGCTCCAATAGCATACTGTGACCTTTTTTTGAGAAAAGTGACAGAATATTACTTTTTCATTGAAAAGTGACAATTTACATTCTTCTTGATCAAATATTTTGCATGCATCAATATAATTGATTCAAAATTTTATTTTTTTCTTATGTATTAACAGAAAACAGGGCATGAATTCGTATGTTCAAATTTTCAAAAACGCACACATATGCATCCAGTTAATTGCTCAAATGAGATGTTGTGATTTTTTTTAAAAAAAACAGCGATAGAATATCTCTTTTTCATAGAAAAGCAACAAAAAGTCATTTTTTTCACATTCTCCTTGAGCAACCATCTTGCATGTATCAATCTAATTGATTCAAATCTTTCTTTTCATATGTATTAGCATAAAACAAGACTTGAATGCGTTTGTTCAAATTTTCAAAAAATGCACATCTATGCATCTAGTTAATTGCTCAAATAAGATACTGTGACTTTTTTTTTTTTTAAGTGACAGAATGTCACTTTTTCACATTTTCTTTAAACAAACACATTGCATGCATCAGTCAAATTGATTCAAAATTTTCTTTTTCATATGTATTAGCATTAAATAAGTCTTGAATTTGTATATTCAAATTTTCAAAAAACGCACACATGCATTTAGTTAATTGCTTCAATAAAATAGTGTTACGTTTTTAGAAAAATAAGAGAATGTCACTTTTTCACATTCTCATTGAGCAAACACTTTGCATACATCTATTTAATTGATTCAAAATTTTCTTTTTTCACATGTATTAACATAAAACAATTTTTGAATTTGTATGTTCAAATTTTCAAAGATGCACACATATGTATCTAGTTAATTGCTCCAATGAGATAGTGTGACTTTTTTTTAAGAGAAGTGAAAGAATGTCTTTTTTTTCACATCCTCCTTTTGTCAAACACCTTGTATGCATCATTTTAATTGATTCAAAGATAATTTTTCATATGTAATGACACAATCCATTTCTTCTCAAGCTCAACAATGTAATTTTCAAACATGTTCACAATCACAATAGTAAAATCATCAAAAAAAAACTTCATAAATGTCAATTATTTACATTATAAGATTTAAACTAAATATAATCACTACATTCAAATAAAAGTGAGATAGACAATGCACTAAGATGATTAGAATTTGTAAGTAAGAGATTATTCGAGTTAATTAAATGAATGCCTACTGAACTTTACCCATGGTTACTACTTGCTCACTGAAGTATAAATGGTTACTCAATGCTCACTGAATTATTCATTAGTTTACCCGTCAATCACTAAAGCCAATTTCGTCTCTATAGCTGGACAAAAATGTCTACGTGGCGGATGATATGGCAGACAAAATATACACATCATTTAAAAAGCCAAACAGGATTTTTTTAAGAGGCAAACATGACACATCATTTCAGCCAAAATGGTAATGGAACCCAATATTCTTCTCCCTTCTCCAATTCCACCCAAATTGAAAATCGAAGTCCACCGTCGAAATTGAAATCGCCGTCCACTACCGACACCGAAATCGAACCTCCCCAATACGAATCCTTGGTAAGTTCAATCTTCACTGCCGCCGATGAATGGGTAGCTGATGTTTCGGATCGTTCAGCATGAGGAGGTTCGGTTGCAGTTGGCATAGGAGGAGGTGGCGGTGTTATGTGTTGGGAGTGCGCCGCCGTAAGGATGGTGGCGATGAATATGGCGATGAGAGAGAAGAGAGAGGGAGATGGAGGCATGGCGGAAGCGGGAGGCGGAGTAAAAGTGAAAAATTGGTGGCATTTTGGAGTCTTTGAATGTTGAAAATTTGACCGTTGAATTAAAGTTTCTTATTTGATCTAGATTTTAGTTTGACATTGTCTTCCAGTAATTTTGTTTGTTTTTGTGTAAAGCTGCTGGCTAGAAATGATCCTTTTGTAATGGACATGATCAAACATGATCCTTTTGTAATAGGAAAATTGTCTTCAGATTAGAGCCGCTTTCTTGACCTTTTTCCTTGTATTGTAGTAGGAAAATTGGTGGCTTGTGTTCTATGTGTATTGAAGCTATAAATGAATGGAATAGAATTTATTCTTTCAGATGTTTGAAGATTTAGTTTTAATGAAATGCTTGCTGGTGCAGTCTGGTTAATGAAATGCTTGCTGGTGCAGTCTGGTGGCTTGTGTTCTGTGTTTGTAGTTGTTTTGTATATGACAACCTGATGCATGCATTAGAACACCAACTAGAACACCAAAGTTCTGATGCATTAGAACACCAAAGTTCTGGTGCATCACATTGCAAAGTTCTGATACAACACAAAGTAGTTTGTTGCAAATAACATGGAAAAAGCTTCAATTCATTCCATTAAGAAAGCACAGTAATTTAAGTAGCTCATTACAACACCAACTAGTTTGTTGCAAAATATGGCATGACTATTATAGGTGCTTGGCGCAGCTCACAGGCTATACTGGAATCAACTACGCTAATGCAGAATTTGCATCGGCAATGCTTAATCTCATTCCAGGATTTACTTTTATACTTGCCCTCATTTTCGGGTTCTTATTCTCTGGCTGCCCTCTTCAATATGCTGCAAATCTTCCACCATATTTTGGAGTGATATATTTTCAGTCCTCGAAGAACCTGGAGCACTGCCACCACCATCATCTTTCTTAATAGTCTCATCTCCCTCATTATCACCTGCCAGACGATGTATGAATTTCGCTAGATTTGCCATCGTTTCCTGCCAACGGCATCAACCCAATCGTACCTAAGATGTCCCCCTTTCCTCTGACTCCAACACTCTATACTTCATCCTCACCATCTTCATCATCGGCCACCGGCATTGCCTCAATATCATTACCAACAACCACAGCCGCTTTTCCTTCACTTTCTCTGCCCTCAATTACCTTCAACGCCAGCGCCCATAAAAATACAAGCAGAAATTGGGGTGAATTTTGGTGGCGAATTTTAGGGTTCTTCAATTTGGGGTGATATTGGGTTTCAATTTGGGGTGATTTGAGAAAACGTGCTATCAATTCCCACAGGCTTATTGCAATTTTGGTCCATTTGGCTTATTTAACTTCTGTTATGTGCCATGTCGGATTTCCGTCTGCCATGTGGCACACACCGTTAGTTTCATGTGATGGAGATGGGAAGGGTTATGAGCGAGTAACGAATTAGATAGATGAGTGAGCAACGGGTAACCGTTTATACTTCAATGAGCAAGTAGTAACCAGGGGTAAAGTTTAATGAGCATTGATTTAATTAACTCGAGATTATTCAGCTGAAAATTGATAATCACGATTGTTGTTTTCATAATCTATACAAAGATAACATT